TTTGACTTTCTTTTGAATTATCACTTGGCTTTATAAGTTGTTTTTGAACTTGTTATCTCATATTCATTGTTTAGTTTATTATCCGTTCACTGAGCATTAAGCTCAGCCGAGATTTTCTTGTCCTCGGCAGGTACATGACTTAGCAGGGATTTTGGGATGAGAGCTACGGAGATGACAATATTGAAGATAACCCATTAAGTCATACTTTTGTTACTTTTGATGACTATGTAGACATACTGGTATTTTGGGACCGTATTTTGAGACACGTTATCTCCGTCTATGGTTATGTAATTATCTTTTGATAAATTTTATTAGCTGCTCTGGTTTATATAATGCGTTGTTTGTTTTTATCCCAATTGTGGCATCTCCCGTCTTTGACCACGCGGGACGGGGGTGTTACAATGACGATTATAAGAAACAATGAAGTTGAACTCATGAATAAAAACTGAACTTTGATAAGGAAAAATTTGAAGTCAAACAACACCACAAAAATCTATGTATACTTATGGCGAAAGAACATCTGTCACCAGGAGAGGAAGCGCTGAAAGAACGTCTTTTGGCAATGTTGTATGGATAGTAATTTAGATTTTAGTATCTAGTATTTAGTAATTTAGTATTTTGTATTTAGTAATTTCGAATTTCGTGTATTTTGTTTGCAGTTTACGTATTATATATTAGTAATTTATGTTAAAATGAATGGTTATGATTGCTTTGGAAGTTTGCTAAAGTTCACATGTTATTGTCTCCTTTTGATGTGTTCTCTTTCACTAAAGTTCACATGCCATTGTCTCCTTATGATGTGTTGTCTCTTTCAGTAAAGTTCACATGCCATTGTCTCCCACTGATGATTCAAAGATTTCCTTATATATTTGTTGTCTTTCAACAAATACTAATTCATATAACCTTCCTCAAACACCCTTAAATACCTTAAACACCCTCAAACCTTCCTCAAGCGTCCTCAAACATCTTACTAAAATGTCTCTGAAGAAAAACTAATCATCATAGCCAGTTGATGAATTTGATGAATGGCAATCACGAGTTGTTGAAAAAAACCAACTTCTTGATCGCATGGTCGAGGATAGGGTTATAAACTCATCCAATATGTTCATCGGAGATTAAGCTCCAAGAGCTAGAAGAATATATCGTGACAGACGTGAGATGGGTGAAGCGAGTTTGATGGAAGACTATTTTGTCGATAATCCAACATATGATGTTATTATCTCCCGGAGAAGATTTCGAATGAGAAGACCTTTATTCCATTGTATAGTAGATGCTGTTACCGCTAATGACATATATTTTCAACGAAGACCTGATACCACAGGTAGACAAAGTCTTTCACCAGTGCAAAAATGTACTGGATCTATGAGGGTGTTGGCGTATGGGACATCAGTTGATGCAATTGACGAATATTTAAGAATGAGTGGATCCACAACAAGGGAATCTCTCATCAACTTCGTAAATGGTGTCATATCATGTTTTGGTGACGACTACCTCAGAAATCCTACCAAAGATGATTTGGCAAGACTACTTTATGTTAGGGATCAACGTGAATTCCCGGGTATGATAGGTTGTATTGACTGCATGCATTGGCAATACAAAAATTGTCGCATGGGCTGGATAATATGCTGGAAGAAGTGGAAAACCAACAATCATTTTGGAAGTCATCACATCATTTGATTTATGGTTATGGCACGCTTTCTTTGGAACACCATGTTCGCTAAATGATATTAACGTACTTCACCAATCTCCTATTTTTGATGATATATTGGCAGGTCGAGCACCAAAAGTTACCTATGTCGTGAATGGTTGCGAAAATGATAGAGCATATTATCTCACTGATGGGATATATCCTACGTGGGCTGCATTTGTCAAGTCAATTACGTCTCTCCAAATCCAAAAACACAAGTTATTTGTTGAACATTAAGAGTCTGTCAGAAAAAAATGTTGAATGAGCATTTGGAGTTCTACAAGCTCGTCTCGCATTTCTTCGACACTCATGTCTTGTTTGGGACAAACATAAAATGGGACAAATTATGATTGCTTGTATCATCATGCACAATATGATAGTTGAAGACGAACGAGATACATACCTCCATTATTATGTACCTACTGAATTTCTTAATGACATGCCCACAAATCGATAACAAGGAAGCTCTGTAGAAGATGATAGTCAGTTGCCTGGATTCTCTGTTGAACGGATTGCAAGCCTATCAAGTTATATGGCTAATAGGGAACAACTTCGCAATAAGGAAACTCATAACGCTCTAAAAATGATTTGATTGAGCATATATGGCAAAAAGTTGGCCCTAATAATTAACTATGTTATTTACTTCTTTTAGATATGTAATTTTGTTTTTCTTTCTGTAGTTTCCTTTATATATTTACAGTTGTAAGTTTTTTTATATTTATAATTATGTTTTAAAATATGAAATTATTTTTATATATTTTTTATTTAAAGTTAAAAGATATATATATATATATATATATGTGTGTGTGTGTATATATATATGTGTGTGTATGTATAGTAAAATATTAAATATATAATTTTTATAAAATAATTTTTGAGATTGGGTTGGATTGTGAATAAAGTATATAAAAATTTAGATTAGATTGGAGTTGAAGATTGGATAGGTGGAAGAAAGAGAAATTAGTTTTTTTTTAATAAAGATTAGATTGATTTGGTTTGGTTTGTTGTTAGACTACTCTTATTCTCAAACCAAACCAAACTATTTGACAATAAGAAAAAATACTTATACTAAAAATAATTCATTTATCTTTTACAAAGAGATTGCACTAACAAACTTAGTTTGCAAACTTTAAAAATTAATTAAAGAATAAATAAAAAGATAATATAATATTTTATAGATAATGTGTCAAATTGTTATTGTTTCATTTTAGATTTTATTAGAATAAATCTTAGGGTTATTTATAAAAATAACCGGTTTACACAACCTTTTGCCACAAAATAACCATATTTTAGAGGTTTTGCCAAAATAACCGCCCGGACGGGGGCGATCCGTACACAATGGGGCAATCCCGGGTAAAAAAAAAACTCCTCAAAAGTCGAGATTACTGTTCACCTCGTTGACCGTGTTTGACCTCGTCCCCGGGGCGATCCGTACTATACCGGGGGCGATCCGTACTGTACGGGGGGTGATCCGTACTGTTCACCTGTGTTTTTTTTTGTATTTTTTATAACATTGAAGTTGTATTTTTTTAACTTTTTTAGAACCAAATTTCATGGGAAAAAGTTTAAAAATAAATCTTTATAATTATGGAGACGCAAAAATTATTTTCCTCTGTGTTTTTTAAACCAAATTTTAACTTTTTTGTGTTTTTTATTTAACAATTAAGGGGTGTTTTTAATAAAAATTGAAAAATACATAAAGTGTGTCTTTTTACGTATTTAATTTTAAATTTCACGGTTTTTCGTTATAAAATAACCGGATGATAATTGTGGTTACGAAAAAAAAATATTTAGTTGATTTTTGGAGAAAAAATCAGACATTATATCTGATTTCGCGGTTTTTGTTCAAGATATGAATTTTCAGCACCATCGTAGGGGAAGAAGGTGCTTCGATTTTCACCACTTCTATTGCTAGGGAAGAAAGTGCTCTGATTTAGACCAGGAGTACAACCGGTAGGGAAGAGTGTGCTTGGACCATATGCGTTTGCAACGCTAACGTCGGGGAAGAGTGTGCTCATAGCACCGGTGTAAAAAGTGTTTGAACCTCCCGGGTTTGCATTTGATGGATTTCCTTCATAACCTCCATTGTCGACAACATATAGTGTCAACATTTCTGGTAAAGTTTGACGAATGGCGTTGTGGAGGATTACCACATCATCGTCGTCCATAATCTGATATAACGTATTCGTTTTAAAAAATAAATTGAAAGGACCACGTAAACTTAACTTTTTCGTCACACGTTTGACGACCCCATAATACGTTATTGGCGAAGACAAACGTATTGCACATGTGGGGGAGGTTATCGGAAGGTACTTTAAAACACCATTTATATCTTGGAATAACCCACCACTTCGAATATACACACAAACATTATTACTTTCACGTGATTTCATGTTTTGTGATGGTTGATTGTGTTTAGTGGGTTAAAGGTTGTGATGGTTTATTGTGTTTAATGGGTTAAGGGTTGTGWRWGTAAAATATATGAGAAAAGAAATGGAAGGGAATGTGTGAAAAATTATGAATTAGGAAGTTGGTATTTATAGTGAAATTGGTATTAGAAAAAAAAATCAATTTTTTTTACCCGGATCGCCCCCGGTACAGTACGGATCGCCTCGGGGGCGAGGTCAAACACAGTCAACGAGGTGAACAGTAATCTCGACTTTTGAGGAATTTTTTTTTACCCGGGATCGCCCCCATTGTGTACGGGGGCGATCCGGGTGGTTATTTTGGAAAAACCTCTAAAATGTGTTTATTTTGTGGCAAAGGGTTGTGTAAACCGGTTATTTTTATAAATAACCCTAAATCTTATCTGATTAAAAAGATAAACTTAATAAAAAAATTAAAAAATATATCAAAATTCATATTTTTCAATTTCCTACAAATAGAGACCAATATTGACATATTTTCAACACACAAATTTTTCTCTATTTCAACTCATCATCTTGAAATTTCCAAAGATCTTGATTTTTTTTCAAGTTTATTCTATGGATCCAAACCAACAAATTTTTTTATTTAACTCTCAACATATTGATAACTCTCAATATATCCCTGAATATGTTCAAACCTCGCAAAAAGTCTCAAGAATCGACTATCCATGGGAGACTAAAGAAGATATAGTTTTAATGTCAGCATGAGTCGTTGCTAGCGAAGATGCTACTCATGGTAGAAACCAATAGAAAGGAGCGCTTTTTTCACGAGTGAAAAAAAATATATAATGCAACTCGAGAAGAAAATCCATAAAGAATGCGTATCAGGAACGAAAATCAAATGAAAGGTCGTTGGATTCGACTTAACGAAAGTGCGAACAAATGGATTGCTGCCTACAAAGAAGCATAACATCAAAAAAGAAGTGAAATGAGTATGGCAGATGTTGAGAAAGGAGCTCATGCAATTTATGAGGTGGGTGGGAAAAAGTTTTCGTACTTACTTGTATTTAACGAAGTTATGTGTAAACATCCCAAGTGGGAATTACAGTTAGATCGTGACATGACACGTTCTCGTTGGGAATATGAAGTGGGTGATGAAGAAAGTGGTGGAAGCACAAAAATATCAAAAACTATGGAAGAAAGAACCGACCTAGAATCCCCAACTGTTGGTGGTTCAACAATTCAGCGTCATAGATGTAGAGATGCGGCAAAAAAGAAACGAAAAGGTAAGGCATCACAATCTTCTTCATTTTCTAATGACTTCTCTATAGAACTTCGTGTAATGACGATTACAAGAAACAATGAAGTTGAACTCATGACAAAAAAACTGAACTTTGACAAAGAAAAAATTAAAGTCGAACAACACCAAAAAAATCTACGTATATGTCACCAGGTGAGGAAGCGTTGAAAGAACGTCTTTTGGAAATGTTGTAGTAATTTAGTATTTCGTAATTTCATATTTATTGTATTTTGTTTGCAGTTTACGTATTATATATTAGTAATTTCTATTAAAATGAATGGTTATGATTACTTTGGAAGTTTTCTAAAGTTCACATGTCATTTTCTCGTTTTGATGTGTTGTCTCTTTCACTAAACTTCACATGTCATTGTCTCCTTATGATGTGTTGTCTCTTTCACTAAATTTCACATGTCATTGTTTCCTNTGATGTGTTGTCTCTTTCACTAAACTTCACATGTCATTGTCTCCTTATGATGTGTTGTCTCTTTCACTAAACTTCACATGTCATTGTTTCCTTATGATGTGTTGTCTCATTCACTAAAGTTCACATGCCATTGTCTCCTCATTATGTGTTGTGTCTATCAACTTAAAGTTCACATGCCATTGTCCCCCACTGATGATTCAAAGATTTCCTTATATATTTGTTATCTTTCAACAAATACTAATTCATACAACCTTTCTCAAACATATTACTAAAATGTCTCTGAATGTAAACTATTCATATGATCCAGTTGACAAATTTGATGAATGACAATCAGGAGTTGTTGAACAAAACCAACTTCTTGATCGCATGGTCGAGGATATGGTTATAAACTCATCCAATATGTTCATAGGAGATGAGGCTGCAAGAGCTAGAAGAATATATCGTGACAGGCAACATGAGATGGGTGAAGCGTGTGGAAGACTATTTTGTCGATAATCCAACATATGATGATGTTATCTTCCGAAGAAGATTTCGAATGAGAAGACCTTTATTCCATCGTATAGTGGATGTTGTTACCGCTAATTTTCAACGAAGACATGATACCACAGGTAGAAAAAGTCTTTCACCATTGCAAAAATGTACTGGAGCTATGAGGGTGTTGGCGTATGGGACATTAGTTGATGCACTTGACGAATATTTGAGAATGAGTGGATCCACAACAAAGGAAACTCTCATCAAATTTGTAAATGGTGTCATATCATGTTTTGGTGACAAGTACCTCAAAAAGCATACCAAAAATGATTTGGCAAGACTACTCTATGTTGGGGATCAACGTGGATTCCCGGGTATGATAGGTAGTATTGACTACTGATATGTGTTGAGAATTTAACACATAAAACACTCGTTTTACGTCTTATAAGTTAGAATAATTTCTTTTCATTCCCACTCTGAGTCATTTTTATTTGTTTCTTTATACATTTGTTATTATGAAGCTAAATATTGTGGTTACTTGTTGGTACTCATAAAAGATGTTAATGGAGAGTTTTTGTAAAAACAACAGGATGCTACAGCATTAGTGCAGCGGCAATCTGATGAATGTGCAGCTTTTTGGAGGGGTTAATGATTTAGACGCTGCCTTTTTGTACTA